ACTGTTTACCCACCAGGTCGATGATGGACATGGTAAACACGGAGGTGGAGCAGGAACAGATGGACATGCTGGTGGACTCCATGATGGAGCAGGGCGGCGTCCGCGACCGAGAACAGATGACTCAGCAGGACTTCATCAACATCCTGGGAGAACACAAGCAGGCCCTCAGCAATGCAGCACTCAACCTGGGAGGTAGGGGGCGCTGTTGTACAGTGTTTTGTTTTGTGTTGTGTTGAACCATCAAGCACTGCATGATGTTGTGTGGAAAGAGAATGAGGAGGAAATTAACAGGAATTGTCATAAGGCTTTAAAGAGGTAAATCTTTGAATAATTCTTGCAGAGACTCAATGACAGTTCTTTTTCATCAAAAAGCTAATTTGATATTTGGACTTTTGGACACACTTTCCAAATTTAATATGAAACAAGTAAAATCTGAGATTTTATACCTCCGGGCTTTTTATTGTATATTTTTCCATGTTGTTTGTTCTGTATAGTTGATGGTGTTGAATTTTATGTGTTAGATTTAGCGTTCCTGGTTGTGTTAATACAGGACTGGTCAACATTTTCATCTGCAGCCCATACCATGTACCCACGGTAAAAATGCATGTCAAGAACGTCTGAGACAGTATACCACGGTATTTGTAAGTTAAGAAGTCGTAATATACGCCGAAAACATCCAAGATTGCGCAAGGCGGCGTTGACCCCTGACCCATGGCCCACCCGGAAGTTGCGCTGGCAGCCAGCCCAGCGCCGCGCGCGACCATTTTCAGATTTTTACGCCCCAAAACACATATACAATAAAAACAAAAAAAACCTGCACCATCTACAGCCCATTAGCAGAACATACACCGAGTCCAGTCTACCCCAACGCGAGATACAACTGCGATAATATTTCAAAATACATATCGGAAGCAGACACCCCTCTGTTTGACCCCTTTTAAATGGTAAGACCCAAAACTGAAACCTCCCCATTCCTTAACAACATGGTAAATTCCATTTTCAGCATGGCGGGGGTGTCCGGAGCACTTAAAAACCTTTTATTTCCACGCCCATAAACACATATACAATTAAACAAAAACGTTCTGCATCATCTGCAGCCCAACAGCAATACATATACCGAACCACAGACAAATCCGTCCAGCCGATCGCGAGAAACAGCTGCTGACAGAAATGTTTCGAACCATAGTAAAACCTCCTCGCGGAAGGATATCTCCTTCCCCGGAGGTAATGATGATTGAATTATTTAATATGCTGTCACTACTATATGTATGTGCCTGAGAAAATATTTTAGTGCAAATAATACCTGAGTGCACCCACACAAAAAATTGGGTGCACAGCTCCAAGGTGCATTGCACCCAGCATTTTGAGCCCTGTACATGTACATTGAATAGGCAAGACACTGAAGCAAGACCTACAGTGTTGCAGTGATCCATTCTGGCAGACCAGATGACCCAGCCAGGCCTGGTTTTTTTCTCTCCCTGGGACCCACACTGATTGAAAGAAAACATTCACATTGCTCTGCAGACCAGGGTTTGAAATACAACACTGAAATCCTTTCCCCTATATTTTGCTCTCCTTGTTCAAAGTTGTTAATGGGAGTCCTGGAGGTAGCCTGGGTTCCAAACCCATAGCACACTGGACACAAAGGTGGACTCTGCTGGGGTTAGCTCATCTTATGCACAAAGTCATGTATAGGTGGTCAGACAAAAACCTGTTGTAATGAGAGCATGATGGAAAGTACATCTACATGTACATGTACATGTACATGTACATCTTATAACATCTCTGGTAACCAGTCTATGGTGGTTTATATATATATAATAGGGCCCCATTCCAGCTCAACAGCCCTGGTAGAAGTGCTGTAGGAGTTTTGTAGGGAACCGCTGAATCGGGCAGAAAGAGCTCCTGCAGCCCCCAAGAGTCAAGAGACTAGGATGATTTGAACTGGATTTTCAGAGACCCCAAATATGGGATCAAACAAGATGTAACTTCATCCCTGAAAAAACATGTGCCTTGCCTCCTCAGTCTGACCTCGAGGTTACCCCTCCTCACTGGGACAGGGGGAGCTAGAGGTCAGACCTTCAGGTCACAATTGTGTACATCACAGTTTGGATGTTACAGAAGCTTAGCTAGCAGTATTATTAATAAGCTAGCCAGCCACCTTGTGCAAATAAGTTTTCACTCTTCACATACATGTATTTTTGTTTTGTTCAGTTCCAGTATTCAATGTTATGAACAGGATCAGAGGAAGGTGTGATACTAGTACTGGCAGAACTAATCGTTTTCCTCAGTTGGACGGTCCAAGAGATGACCTACATTTGTATACATGAGGGCCTGCATGCCCTTTATTGAAAGGCGTAATCTGGCCTTTTTAGTCTCCCTAATCCGTAGGCACTGCCTCCCCAAAAGAGGAATCCCAGCGTCCATGTTGAGCAAAGCATAAAGTCATAATCAGCTCTGAAATTTTGACGTAATTTGTAGTCTGGTGGCGAAAATTTGCGTAATTCGTAATCACTACACCCCCATGCAGGCCCTCCTGGCCTCTCTTGCCCCTACTGGCTTTGGCACGATCTCCTGTGAAAATGTGTCTTTTCCTTTGGAGTATACATGTAACTGATGTCAGAGAAATTTGCACAATTTGAGGGTAGGGGACTTGTGGGTGTGCATGTCATGGTCATGGGCACAACATAAAGTGAACATGTCTGATCATGGAGACTACATGTTCATTTAATTGGCATGCCAGTCTGATCATCTCTCCACTTCAAAAAAAGTTTGTATGAACTTGTCAGGGTCCACAAATTTTGCCTCCTAAAATTTTTACTGACTTGCAAGCAAAATAGCACATTTAGAAGAATTGCACAGTTGTTACAGAATATGTAACTATCTAGAAATGAGGTAGATTAACATGTCAGTAATTGAAAGCAAGATTGCTTTTTCTACAATTTAATGTAAAGACACAAACATTCAACATCTGTCTACGTGTGAGTAGTTAGGATTCTGGCTGTCTGAGGCTGAAACTTCAGACTAGCTAGTAGTCCAAAGTGTGAGTTATTTAAACCCAAGAGGAATGATGGAAAATTGCAGTTTACACGCTATCCCCTAGAATCAGCCTGGTAATTGTCTGTGTTGTTTTAGTCCAGCATGGCTGTCTGCTAATGAGGTCAGACTAGCTGTCCAGGGATTCAGCCTGGCCTACTCTGGGTACTCAACATGTGGTCTGTCTGCCTGGTTGACACTTTTTGCCAAATCCAAAATCATTGGACAGGGGTGGGTGTATCAAGTTCCTGTTAAACTGACCATAGATATGTAAATCAGAAGTATACTAAAAGGCCAACAATTGCAAGCAAAAGTAGTATTTCCCAAGCTTCATCAGTCCATGTATTCCCAGGCCAAACAATTCATAGAGGCACAATACACGTATTTAGATTTTTGGCTATTTGTAGCAAAAACAAGCAAAATGATAGCCTTTGAGAACCTGCACCTGAGGGGAAAAATTGCAAATGAACAAGCACATTGGTACCAACTTGAAAGTACATTGAATCTCCAATTTGCAGGTCATTGGGCCATAATATTGTGGCACATAGGTCTCTGAGTTACATACATTTTTGGCTATTTTTACCCCAAATAACCTAAATAAGGCTGGCATCTAAAAACCCAACCCTGAACATCTGAAAACCCAATTCTTCGACCTTTCACCAAGGTCACTATCCTCTTTCCAAATTTCAGGTCATTCGACTGTACATTGTAATATAGAGGCACAGAAGCCAATAATATAGATTTTTTACTATTTTAACCCAAAATAAGCTTTATTTTGCAAGACTTGGAAGCAAAATCTTAGCATAATATTTATGCAAAGCTATATGTATCCCCATGCTACGTTGCAGGGTATTGGGCTGTCATAAAGTGGAACAAAAGCAAAAATATATGCATTTCCGACATTTTTACCCAAAATAAGCTGAAAGTAGCATTTAGGGGAGTGAATCTACCACTTATCACCATAATGATACATTTTGTGGGACAATTTCGAGTTATTGTTGAAATCTTTTTAAAAATTTAGAATTTCTGCGCAGAAATCTGTGCAGAATTCTGCAGATTTCTGCAGAATTCTGCAGATTTCTGTGCAGAAATCTGCGCGGGGTGCAGAATTCTGCGCAGAATTCTGCAGATTTCTGCAGAAATCTGCAGAAATAACTGGATCCCTAGGGAACTATCACTGTTATCTACATAGTTGTTGTCATCTTCTACATCACCATGTGGAATGTCAATTGTCCAGGACAAACTATACTTGAAAAGTGAGAGGTAGTCCGGAATTAGAGTGTCTGTCCGGAATTAAAGTGTCGCCTGTTTATTGTATAATCCCAAAAGTTGTAAATATCAGCACAATTCAGTTTTTACTGCAAGTCTGATATGTTCTTTGTTCTTTTCAATAAACCAATCACTACTACCACTACAACATCCCACTGACCAAATCTTGTCCTGTATCCTGTTGTCCAGCTACCTTGCCATGCAGCAGCCGTGTGATGCTGTAGCCGTCCTGGCCAGGAGAGGGGACCTGGACTCCCTCAGGGTGGCTGCCAGCGTCGCTGCAGCAGCCGGAAGTGAAGACCAGCTGTCCTCCGTGGCATGTAGATATGCACATGAGTGTCAGCTGCAGTGTAAATGGCTGGAGGGGCAAGAACTTCTCAAGAATCACAAACAACTACAGGTTAGAAACTCAGGCCTGCTTTAAATCCAATTTAAGGCCACACCAATTTAATTTCTTGGTTAACGGATTTTTCTAGAAAAATAATGGAGCGGGCGGCAAAAAAAATAAAAATAAAAACAGGCCTAGGCATCCTATAATGGCCCAAAATGGTACAATAGGAGCCATGAAGTCAAGACACCAAATTTGAACTTTTAATGATACCAATTTTGCATTGAAAGATGGAATAACTCTAACAACTAGGAAGAAAAGGACTGTTTTCAACAGTTCAGGGCAAAATATGAGCATTTTGCAGTTGATTCTGAATTTTTATTTTTATTTGCAAATCAGAAAAAAATGGAGCGGGCGAATCTGTTAACCAAGAAATTAAATTGGTGTGGCCTAAACATCATTTTTCCCCCAAACCGGGGGTTAGACGTGCTTGCATCAAGTGCCAATCTTTTTTTAAGCAACATTTTTACGAAGACTTGAAGTTTGCACAGATGACTTCTTGAAGACTCTAAGTTGCTTTACATGAGTTTAAACTTGAGTTACATGGAAACACAGCTTTCAAATTCTACCTGACAATGTGCATAACTCATTTATTACCCCAGCCTGTATTATTCAATGAAAGACTTTATTGTACGTTTATGCTCTTACAAGCTACATGTTTGTAAGTACATAGGTTAGGTCATGTACAAAAAATTACAGATGTCTTACTACAAAATAATTACTATACATTTACAATGTACTGTGAACTACTATGTAAAGGTTCAACTTCTTCTTGCCACTAAAGGCAGTTATATAAACATATAATGGAGCTGATAATACATCGGTTTGTCTAATTTCATAAGGAATACAAATTTTTTATTGATGTACCTTGCTTGACATTATACATATGAGTGATTTATTAAGACTTTTCTGTAAGCAAAAGAAAGCACTCACCAATAACTTGAGAAGGGTTAGTTAGACTAACTAGAACCGATAAAAAACCTTTTGGTAAGTGCTTTACTTTGCATACAGAAATAGTGAATAAAAAGTTCATAACTTCATTGTTGTGGTTGCAAGTTTCCTATCCTGTGATAAGATAGTAATGTCATCAATACAACTTAAGTCACGGAAATGAAAAGTAACCTACAATGGGTGTCACTGGAAGACAGAAGAAAAATGTCCAGACTTATGCATCGATGTACAAAAGGACTAATAAACTGGTGGACGTCCCAATTACTAAGTACCTATACCTGCCCAGAAGAGAACAAGAAATAGCCATGCCTTTAAGTACCGGAGTTGTCAACCAAGGATTGAGGTGTTCAAGAATTCATTCTTTCCTAGAACTATCGCAGAGTGAAACTCACTGTCACCAAGTACAGTAGGGGCGTTATCATAGATAGCTTTAAACAATGTCTAGAGTTAGAAGTTCAAGGGTTAGGTGTAGCAAGTCGATTGGTGTAATATAGCCAGCTGCTGCCGCGATACAGATACAGATAATGATTAGATAACTGTATTTCCTTATGTTGTCCAGGTGCACAGGTTAACCCTGTGCCTACATGAAGTCCTTGTTGGATGTCTGTCTGACCTTGGCTGTCTGTCAGCAGACTGGACACAGATGACAGGTCCCTACAGCTGGGGACAACTGGGCAGGGCCATTTCTCTACCAGGTGAGGTAGTCATGACTGGTGAGCAGTGATCTAGCCAACATCCATCTTTCCATAATGACAGAATTTTGCCGCTCGTGATCAGGGCTCGAAATACTGGGTGCATGTGCACCCAAATTTGGAGCTGTGTACCCATTTTCTTTCTGTGGGTGCACCAGTACACACAAATATTTTTGTAGGTTTACATATGTCAACTGAAGATGTTAAATGTACAGTAGTACTAGTATTCAGCATATTCTTAACATCTGTAAGTGTCAGAAAAATAGTAAAATCATTGTAGTATTTTCTTTAGAAACGAAAAATAATTAGTTTTTGCTGACATTCTACTTAATTTTTTATCTTATATGGTGCACCCACAGAGAGAGAATGATTTATTAAAAATAAAAACCTTCGCAGGTCCAGTGCTGAAGTGCATTATTTGAAGGACGTGCATTGCAAAGTCACAAACACGTCCTTCAAATAATGTCAGAACTTTCACATTATACATTACACATAATACATTTCTAGTGTGTATTTTACATGCAGTGCAGGCATACACTCACTGACAGGTCTTTTGCCTCATCATCTATACATCTATGTGAATCTATACATTATGATATTTTCCTCTACTGCCAGTAACTTATTAGACATACAGTCCTTTGTTTAGAACATTGTTCTCTAACAATCATGATTATCCATCTCAAGGTTAAGGCCATTTTTTGTTTATAATCTGTTGTTCCCCTTCCTTGTGTTTCTAAATGCTATTTTATGCAAATATAGCAACGTGACTGAAATAGAATGATGGAATTTTTATCTAACATATTAGGAAGTTTCTCATCAGTTACCCATAGATGCCTTACGCAGATTTTCTGCCAGGTTCCTTTCAATTTTTTTTATTAATGGATGGTCTTGGTCCTGAGGAAAGATTTGCTTTGCCATAGCCAAAGCTTCTAGGAACGTTCTGTTAGCTGCTCTGAAATCACAGAGTTTGTACAAAGTTGTCCCCAGGTTGTTGAGTGCTGTAGCAATTTCAGGGTGTGCTGCACCATAACCATGGATTTGCCTTCTCATCTGTAGTGCCTGTTCATAGTAGCTGACTGCTCTCCTGTATTCACCCAGATCACCCCATGATACACCTAGGTTGTTAAGTGATGTGGCAATGTAAGGATGTGCTTTAGTCTCACCATAGATACCCCTGTACATTTTAAGTGCCTGTTCATGGTAGCTGATTGCTTTCCTGTAGTCACCCAGATATTGCCAGGCTGACCCAATGTTGGTGAGGCTGTTGGCTATGTTAGGATGCGGTGTACTCTGACCATAGATGTCCCTTTTCATCTGTAGTGCCTGCTCATAGTAGCTGACTGCCCTCCTGTATTCACGCAGACCACACCAGGCTTGGCCCAGGTTGCTAAGTGTTGTGGCAATCTGAGGATGTGCTTTGGTCTCACCATAGATACTTTTGGACATCATAATTGCCTGTTCATTGTACCAAATTGCTTTCCTGTACTCACCCTGATCACAACAAGCTTTACCCAGGTTGCCAAGTTCTGTGACAATGTAAGGATGTGCTTTATCCTCGCCATAGATACTCCTGTACATTTTAAGTGCCTGTTCATGGAAGTTGATTGCTTTCCTGTAATCGCCCATATTTCCCCAAGCTCTACCCAGGGTGCCAAGTGATGTGGCAATTTCAGGGTGTGGTGTACTCTGACCATAGATGTCCCTTTCCATCTGTAATGCCTGTTCATAATAGCTGATTTCTCTACTGTATTCACCCAGAGCACCACAGGATACACCCAGGTTGCTCAGTAATGTGGCAATGTGAGGATGTGCTTTAGTCTCACCATAGATACTTTTGGACATCATAAGTGCCTGTTCATGGTATATAATTGCTTTCTTGTAATCACCCAGACTGTGCCAGGCTGTTCCCAGGGCGGCAAGTGATATGGCTATGTCAGGATGTGCTGTACTCTGACCATAGATGTCCCTTCTCATTCGTAATGCCTCTTCATAGCAGCTAACTGCTCTTCTGTACTCACCCAGAGAACCCCAGGCTTGACCCATGTCGTTCAGATATATGGCAATCCTAGCATGTGCTTTATTCTGACCATAGATATTTCTGTACATCTGCAGTGCCTGTTCATGGAAGCTAATTGCTTTCCTGTAATTACCCAGACAGTGCCAGGCTGACCCAATGTTGCCAAGTGACATGGCAATATCAGGATGTTCTGTACTCTGCCCATGGATACTTCTGTACATCTGCAGTGCCTGTTCATAGTAGCTGATTGGTTTCCTCTGATCTCCCAGGCTGGACCAGGCTGTCCCCAGGTTGTTCAGTATGGATGCATTGTCATTGAGTAGATGTGCTGTACTCTGCCCATTGGTTTTTCCATGCATTGTTAGTGCCTGTTCATAGTAGCTGATAGCTTTGTGATGATCACCCACCTCAAAACTAGCACGTCCAATATCACAAAGCAGCAGAATAATCTCCTCAGTGTTGGTTCCTTCAGCTGTCTTAAGAGCCTCGTGGTAGTGTCTGAGAGCCAGTCTATATTTACATAACTCACAGTACATCAGTCCTTGTACTATTGGAGAATTATCATACAAATCAGAGAAAGGCTGTAGGCCTGGATTCTTTTCAGACCATTTAGACAAAACAGATTTAAGAGGAACTGCTGTGTGATAGTATCTGAAAAGCTGTCTTTCATTTGGTAGATGAAAAACTGGCTTCATTTCATTTCTTTGCACTTCTTCTTTGGGTAGTAGGGATGATTCCTGATGTTGATCTAGTACAGTTTCCATCGAGGCCAAAGCTGACAAGTTTTCCTTCTGTCCACCATTTGCTATGTAGGTTCTGAGCCTGAGTTCTGCTGAGATGCTGGTAAGCACTGTCATGTGATGTGCATTGTTGGCACTGATCACTTGTTTCTTTTCCATCTCTTCTATCATCTTCCAAACTGTGGTAGGTTTAATATGTGATGACAATGCCAAGCAATCAATTGCTAAAGCTGGGAAGCGATACAGTTTTTTCTTGACATCAATCAACCTTGCTGTGATTGTTTCCTCATCACTATATAATAGTTTTCTGATGTTCTCCCTCTGTGTCTCCTCTGCCAGTTGTTGAGACATTTGCCCCCCATCAGCTTGCAGTACCTTCATTGTGATAGCCATATATGTTTCGATCAACTCCTGGTCCCCTGCTATCAGGCATGGGTTTCTCAAGATTGTGGCAAGGTGATATCCTTCCTTCAGATACAATGTGGCATCCATTTGTAGTTTTGAAGCCATGTTGTTTGGGGTGCAGATGAGTTTACTGGTTCCTTGCCTACCCAGTGGAGTCTTGCTTGCCTTTGGCATGGAGCCATCAAATGCAAACCCACGAGGTGTAACAGAGTCATAGTACCAGTTGTCAAGTGGATTCTGAGAGTAGAAGTCATTGAGAGTATTTTATTCCCAGTGCTGGGAGAATGGTTTCTCCCAGGTTGACCGCCTTGAGGTGTAGATAGTGGGTGAGGTTACAGAAATACACAAGACATTCTTCCCTTTCTTCTTCTACCAAGATGGCAAACTCCAGGTCTGAGTATGGAGTTACCAGTCCTGTGGCCTGTGAACCCAAACCTATCAGGGCATACTTACAGGGAAGTGGACCCATTAACCCAATACACTCATCTACTAGCTGGCTGATGAACTCCTTCCTTTGTTGTGTAATCCACTCAAACAACTGCCTGACAGCCTGAGCTCGTTTTGCTTCTATCTCTTTGACACGTGGGTCACTTTCATCCAGTGCATAGGGATCCAGCTGCTGGTCAATGGTTTCCATCTCCAGCTTGATCTGGTCTCGCATCTCCTTCAGCTGTTTCTTATGTTTATCTGTGTTGTCTAGGCTCTTATCATAATGAGTGTTCAAAACATATTTCAGAAATGATTTCTCTACCTCTGTAATAGCTCTTGCTTTGTTACTATTGAGGACTTGATCCTCTGACCTGGCTATTGCTGCACGGTAAAGTGCTGCTGCTTTGACCAAGTCTCCCCCGTCTCCTGTCTGCTGACCTCGCTTACTGTAGACATCCCCCAACTTGCACAGGGGCTCCACCTCTCTCTGGTACTGCTGGGCTTTGGGGTCTGAAGAAAAATCCAATGTTGGACATATTACCTGTTAGTTAGAGTAACAATACAGGCAATGACCTGGGGTGACTGATTTCAAATCATAATGCTAACAGAAAATGGAATTTCTTTAAATTTAGAAGACTTTTTTGGCTCAGTCACTGTTGGTATCATTGTTCATTGTATTTCAATGTTTGAAATGTTTCAATGTCCTGTACCTGGCATGTGTACTGTCTTGAGTGCAGCTGCAAAGTGCTTCTCTGCTGAGTCCAGGTCTGCCCTGTCAAGGGATGATTCACCTTCCTTCATGTGGTCTTTGTACTGCAGCTGACTGACAGAAAAGACAGAATTGAATGTGTAATTGGGTTATTGTTAGGTGACTAAGTACGAGTATTATCATAATATAATCATTGTTATAATGCTAACTTTTCAAAAGATAAAGCTCAACAGTTAATTACTGTATCTATAAATAAGTCACAGTAAGTGAAGGTATCCCCACCTCTTTATATTACGGCTCTGTGTAACATCAGGTCTCGTCATGTTCCCAAACTGGTGTCCCAGGGATGATCTCTTTTCTCTTGGTCTTGGCTGCTGCAAGATGTACAATGTAATCTGTATTTCACAGATCTTGTTATCCCCATAGTCTTCTATATATACGGTGTCCTACAAACCATTTTTAACCCAGAACAACATCACTTTGGAATAAGCTACCTTGTGATTGTTTGAGCTGGATTGTTTCCCTTATGAGTATAACCTTATTAAAGCTTTTCAAGTCTAAGGTCAACAAACATCTGTCCTCACTGGCTGTACTGTAACTCAAAACATTATGCGTGGCTCCCATGAGCCTTGTTTTGTGGTAACCTAATGAAGTAAATAAACAAGTGTCCATTGGCGACAATTATCCATGAAGTTTTATATTTTGCAGATTGAGAACAGAACTAAAAAACGGCTGTTCACAACACTCCGTCCGGAGGTCCAGACCTCCTTCATGGAGTAAAAAACCTTTTTGCCTGTACACTGATTGTATGATGTGAGAAGTTACATGTAAAGGGCCTTATGATAATACATAAACTACCTGTGAATGACAATGTCATAAACTGGATGAAGTATCCGTATACATTTTGTACAAGTGAAAAGTAAACCCTTAAGGTTCTCACCATTCTCACTGCTTCCCTGATCTTCTCTGCATAACTGATGCGATGACGTAGGGTTAGTTTTGTCTCAGGATCCTCACATCTTGTCAGGGCCTTGTTGTACATGGCAGCTGCCTTGAAGAACTGGGATATATCGGAGGTTTTCTTGCCTTTCTGAAGGTAGAAATCTCCGAGAGATTTTAAACTCTCAAGCTCTAAGAATACATCACTATTTTCTATTGCAGTTACTAATGCTTCTGTGTAAGTGTCTTCAACAGATTTCCACAGTTTACCAACTTCTCTGTCTAAATTGTAGCAAATCTCTGCCACCCTTGAGACATTACATTCAGAAATGTCTGGTGACAATCTCTGATACTGTGGAGTGTACCCCTGCAGCAGTTGTCGGGAGAGTTTCTCCATGTAGTGAATACGGTGTTGCAGAGTTTGACCAATTTCTGGCTCTTTGCAGCACAGTAAGGCAGCAGCATACAGGGCAGCAGCCTTGTCAAACTCTTCTGAATCTTTAGTAAGCTTGCCTTTTTGAAGATGCAGGTCTCCAAGACTTTTCAGGACTTCTACCTCCATGAAGAGGTCCCTGGAAAGAATGGCTTCTCTCAGTGCCTGCCCATAGCCATGTTCTTGGCTGTGGCAACTGTTGAGGCACAACTCTAAATCCTGTAATTTGGCTGCCAGGCTGGTCATATTGTTGTCAGACATTTTTGTGTTCTGTAATAACAATGACATAAAACATAAGTCCACACCAAGCTAATTTGTTGTTTCTTGGATTTTTTTCAAAAAAATTATGAAGCGACAGGGCGAAAAAAAAAAAACAGGCCAAGGCACCCCATGATAGCCTGTTACAATATGAGCCATGAAATCAACATACCAGGCTAGTTTATAATTAAAACAATAGATTTTGAACTTTAAATGGAACAAAGTTGCCTTGTTACATTGTAAAAACTTTAACAACTTGGAAGAAAATGACTTTCTTCAACCGTTGGGGCCAAAATATGTCTTTCATTAAGAACCTAAAAATTTTTTTTTTTCTTTTTTTTTGCAAATCAGAAAAAAATGGACAGGGCGAATCTGAGAAACAACAAATTAAATTGGTGTGGCCTAAACATAAAAGAAGCAATTGGAAATGCTTTCTGCAAATACTAGTACACACTTATAAGACTGGACCTAAACCCATGGCATATACATGTAAAATTGCATGTTGGCAAACATTTTAAATGCAATTTAAAATGCTAGTATATTAGAGTCAGTAGTAAACACAAAGCTCTTTAACAATATTATACCAAAACCCCTAGCCTGATTTGTCAGTGCAATGTTGCAGGTTGCTTAATTTTTCTTCTGCAATATTGAAAAAGGCTCTGCAGACTGCGGGTGGGTATTTCTAACACTGATTCAGAAGCATTTATAAACCCCTGTAGCCTCTGTAACTTGCCAAGCTGAACAGACTCAACTACAGTACAAAAAGTCATGCAAATCTCACCTGGATGACAGTGACTCCACAGCTGCCTGGGTCTAGGGACTTGCTTCTTTCTCACTGTGTCAGCAGAGTTTTGGGTTTAATTCCTCAGACTCAGCTGGGACTTTCCATGTTGTCATACCTAAGTCAGCAGTTAGTCCCATGACAATGTAAACTGTGACTAAGTATAATAGATTACTTATATTTATAGAGGGCCTGCATACCCTTTTTTGTAAGGTGTAATCAGGCCTTTTTAGACTTGGTAATTCGTAGCCAGCCTCCGCAAAAATCAACATAATTCGTAACAGTACATTAGCTGCAAAGCGTAAAGTCGTAATGAGCTCTGAGACTTTAACGTAATTCGGCGGCATAAATTTTGCGTAATTCGTAATCACTATCCCCCATGCAGGCCCTCATATTAGCAATACACCTAGGCCTCCTTTTTTACCAGTGTGCACCAGACCAGTGCAAGTAAGCTTTATCCACTGCTGTCAAATGTAGAAATACCCAATAAATATCTGATTTTAAGGTGAAAAAGGGCCCAGTTGCAAGTTCTGAATCAATACGTGACCAAAAACTATTTTCTCAGTAAGAGTTTGGCTTTCTTTCAAGCTTGCGTGACTTGGCAGCATGCTCCATTGTGGCCATATGGTCCTCAGAAAATTACTCTTCTTAGACTTCTTACTTTGGTAAAAAATATGATGTAGACTGAATTATAAATTTTAAACTAGATTAAAGATTATTTGTGCAAACAATTCTATAAGTTTTCTTCTTTAATTACTCTCAGTTGATCCATAAAAACAAAAGACAACTCACCATCTTACCCCCCCCCCAAAAAGTGGACTCGTCCATAACCCAATATGACCTTTAATTTGTTCTGCCTACAGGGACTCTACAGGAACAAAATGTAAACACGTCCCTAATCCGGTATTTCATTACTGTATCGCCTGAAAAATGAAAGTTGGGGCTGTATTCTCTAAGGTCTAAACATATCAAATACACACCTTTTTATGTTTAGGTCAACTTTAAAAAAAAAACTGTAATGTATGCCATGTATGCCATCTTATGTTTTTAATCTTACCAGTAAAGTGTTGTTTTTTTCTCCCATCTTCAGACATTCTTCAGTACAAGAGTGAGGTTGACCCCCTGTGTCCCTGGCCCCCCTACCTGGTGCAGGGTGAGTTGTTCCTGGGTTATGTTGTACAGGTGTGGTGCCAGTACTGTGGACTTGTCCTGACTACAGACAACATTCTCCAGTTATGTCAGCAGCTCACTGCAACACTCACGGCAGCCACCAACCCAGGCAATACTGCAAAGGTATAGTATTGGATGTTTGTGTGATCAAGATCTCCATTAGTGTGAATTTCACACCATTATTCCCCATATATTATTGTGGCGGTGTGCAGTGCCTCTGACAAACAGTAAAGTCGGAGTCCTTCAGCAGATACTTAACTACATAATGTGTTGTTTTGCACCACAGTTACTGTCCGTGGTGTCGTGCCAGCTGACTACAGGCCTGTTGTACCTGGTAGGTGGTGAGGTACAGAAGGCTGGGACACACTTCATAGCTGCAGTACACCTAACACATGACAGGGGGCAGTACCACATCATGAAAGGACTGCTTCAGATGATCCTGCCTCAAGGTAGGAAAACAGCTTTGCCACAGTTTTGAGAGGTTTTCTTAGGTGTTAAGCCCAACAATAACAATAAAAAGTGTCCTTGTGCGCTATAAATGTTTACATAATTTTTTTACATAAACACAACATACAACAAGAAGCCATAGGCGACAGCCTCCGTGAAGATTTATATATTTCAGCAAAAACAATCCCAAGGGTCAACGCCAGACCTACTGTGCAGACATTATAATTAGGCAACGGTTAATACAATAAGGGCGCGTCACAAGCATAAAACATAAAAAACCTAAATCCATTACTGCTCCCAGGGCGTGTAAAGATACTGTGCTTCAAGTTTGAAGTTCATTTTGATTACACACACACAATCATTGCATTCACATAAAAATCGGACTATCATGGTCGTGTCACTATTAACGAAGACACCGTCTTACCGTGCCTGTTACTTATTAAGCGCGACTGGAACAGGTCAAATTCCAGCAACAGTCGCGGCTAGCACCGCGAGTGTTACTTCCGCCGGTCAGATACCCGGGATATCTGCTTGGAGAACCTCTGCTACCAGACAACTGCCTAAACCTACGGCCTATTCCACAGGATTGTAAAAGTAGGGATGTTTCTAAAATATGCATTTACTCCAATATCAAAACAGCTACGGTAAAATAAAAGACGTGCATCATCCCGGACATAATGCAACACCACATGCGAAATTACACAGAAATGCGACGTACGGAAGAATGCGTTTTGGCTGCGAACATCTTCCAAAAAAACTTGGCATCTCTTAACCATGGGCAAAAACATCTGGAACCACTTATAAAAACCACCCCGTATCTGCATGAACTTTTACCCCCCCACTGCTATTCCAAACAACGCGTTTTTCTGGACCATTCCAATTCGCCTCGTAATTGTAGGGGTGCGTCTGC